TTCATTGCATCCCCATGGCCTGTTGGTTTAAAATATTTGTCTCAAATGTTCGATCTCAGAGCTGTCTGTGCCTGAGAATTGGGCTGAGTTGATCAGAGGTGGTTTTGGTGCTCAGGGATGTAGGTTGATGGTGTGGTGAGTCCAGCTGCTCTGGAGACAAGGGGGCTTTTCACCAGTCAAGTGTATTTCTGGCTTCTTCCTTGGGGATATTGTTTGCCTTGACACAGATGAAGGTCTCCCTTTCTGAAGTGATGGTGTTACAATGGCTATTTTGAATGAAAATGTTAAATTTAAGTGGTAGCGTTGGCAAGAGACAGAAAATTCAAATTGCCAGTATAATTCAGAAATGGCTTGAGGGCTCCTGCACTGCCAAGATCAGGAGTGTTGGAGGTGGAACCTGTCCAGAGGGTCCCTGACACCTCAGAGCTGCTCAGGAAGGTCCAGCAAGAGGCTGAAAGCTGAGGAACAGCATTCAACACAACTGGAGCAAAAGTTAGTTTTACAAAAGACACCAAACCAAAGGAAAAAGGCAGGATGGTGTCATTGTGCTGACTGGGTATTAACAGATGCAAAGAAATGCTTATGCTGGCATCTCCAGTGCAGGGATGAAGTTCTGTGGCCATTCAATAGGGTCATTTTTGTGATTGCCAACAAAATTAACAAAATTAGTGACCTGTGCATGCTCCAGTACATGTTTGCATCTTTATTTTCTGCCTGTTGAAGTAATTTCTCACGTCTGCTCACCACAATAGAAGTTACCATAGAAATGAGCATTGCATGTATATTCTGCTTTCTTATTGACATGTGGGAGTTCTGCCTCCTTGGCACTTTGGATCCACTACATAAAGTTATCTCTGTTCCATTTCATGAGAGAACTTTTTAATTTGAGCATTAATAATAGGAGGATTTCCTTCAGACTTTCAGTTTTAWGTCAAGTGTATTTTTCTGCTGTCATGTGCTAGAAGAGTTGCAATTCCTAAATCCAGTGTTTATGACACACACGATGGTGGGAATCTTGAAAAGCAAGTGAGGTGAAATGGTATAAAAAGTTTCTACTRTGGACTTAATGTCCTGTAGCCACAGGGTTGTAAGAAAAACACTCCAAAAGTTAGTTCTCTGTTGGGGAAAAGTGTTCATTTTCCATGGAGTGCCATGGGAGCTGGTGTGCTCATTGCACCGTGGAGCTGGTGAATACGGAGATTCAGAGTGATTCATGATATTTTTATTTTCAACACAAAGCACACTTCATATTTGAATGCAAACTCCTGGCTTTTCATATTCTGAAATGGAGCTTTTGCTGGTTCTAAATGGTTAAAGTGACTGGTTTCTTAATTAGACTAATAGGGAGAGGAACCCAAGTTAGAAACGGGCGATTACTTTGTCACACCACCTATTTTTACTCGCCGTAGGTGAGCGCAGTGGGAGGGAGGGGTGAGGCATTTTGCTGCTCTATGTAAAAATAGATTAATGTGAGCAGTTTCTGATTAAACCCCCCCACCCCACTGTGTGCTGGCAAAATGGCTATTTACATACTCTGTCGACYTCTTTGTCAGTTTGGAATTTAAAAGTTCAAGTGGATTGTGTCCCTTTCAGCCCCGGGTGAGTGAGCTGTTCCCATTCCTGGTGACCCCCTTCCTAAAGGAAAATGTGTGATGTCCATCCCTGTCTGTGATCCCTGTGCTGTGGGAGGRTGAGCCAGGAGGAGGAGAGTTTCCAAATATCACAGCTTTCTATTCCATAGGCTGCCCCTGAGAAAGCAGGGCTGAGAAGTGCTCAGAGCTCTGTTTGGTAGTTCAGGGTTATCTCAGACTGAGGTCACTGTGGAGGTGTAATTCTTATTCATGCTGGGGAATTTACAGCAACTGTGACATCCAGTACAGTCAGCTGTGGATTGCCTGAACAAGAAAAAGCAAAGGAATCCATAATTTGTGAGTGATTCAGATTAAAAAATGAACTATTGGAAATGATGGAGTTAATCAAACCCCTGGGCAGCTACAGTGAGGAGCGGTGTCTGTTTAGAAAAATAAATAAATAAAAGCAGATGTTTCTAGGCACTACACCTGAACTAAAGGAAAATGTGATCCATTAGATCTTTRTGACAGTAGCTGAGTTCTGTAATGGTGATTCTTGCTGGGCTGGAGAGCGTTAGGTACCACTTGTCCCCTTTACAAGGAGTTTGTCCTTGCTGAGTGCGGAATAGCGCGTGCGGGAACGSGGTTTTACTGCTGATGGATCTGACAGGACACTCTGTGCTTCTCTTCCTCCCATTCCCCCTACAGCCATCCCTTCCTGTCCTATATACACTCTCCAGTCAAGCTACACATGAAGCAGTTCATCTCCTTTGCAGGATGTTGGTCTTTGATCCAGTAAGTAGGACTGAAAATTACTTTTAATACTTGTGGTTTGAACAGTTTTTGTTGCCTGGTGCTTAAATGAGTGTTGTAAGTCAAGGRCTGCTTTAACTGGTTTCCTTCTGCATGATTGCAGTACTTTTGATCCATAAAAAATGTAAAAATACCATCTAATTGGGCAGTGAATTCCCCCTGGAATGGGGGTTTCAYGTTTCAAACCCAGTGGTCCTGGGGAGGAAGCTCCGGCTGTGGGAAGGATGAGGCTGTGCATGACTCACGCTCTTTTCCGAGCTGGGTGTAGGTAGCAGAACATCAGCTACTTTGATGCAGTTCTAATTAGGGACACGGGGGTGTTCCTGGTCTTGCAACACACAAAAAATTCCTCCTGCATCCCCAATCACAGAACAGGATCGTTTTTCCACCGAGCATCTGTTTTCCTAATAAAAATGTGCTGCTCTGGAATTTGGATTTTGTTTCTTGGGGCACTGTGGAGAATTGTCATGAGAAAATCTGATACTGGAATGGATAATCTTAATTATTTCATTCCTACAGAACCCCCCCAACAATGCAAATGTAAAGCAGAGTGCACTGCAAAGGAGGAGGCTGGGGGTTGATGAAGCACTCAGAAGGCTCTGCCTTTGGAGTGTATTTTTTTTAAACCTTAAGACTGCTTTGCTGAACAGAACCATGGAAATGTTAAACCATAACTTAAAAAAAATTAATGTTTTTTTTTTTTTTTTCTGACTCCCTCAGCACTTAGAATGCTGTTATTCCCAGGCTGTTGTGATTTRTTGTAGGAGTCAGAATTGCTCCTAAAGCATGTTCCTAAAGCCATATTAGCAATGTTTGGCATGGTGGCTGTAGCAGGAGGTCGGTGCCACCCAGCCAGGCTGGTTTGTGAGGTTTGTGAGGTTTGTGAGCCTCAGCTCCCCTCTAGTGGCAGCTCTGCCTGTGCCTGACACAAATCCTCCTTTAACAGGATTATGRCTTTAGAAAAGAACTGAGGATTAATCAATGAGTGGCTCCAACATCTCTGCCAATACCCTGACTGTGATTCTCTTCTCTCCATGCTGTTCTCAGTCCAAAAGGATATCTGCTAAGGATGCCTTAGCTCACCCCTACCTGGACGAGGGGCGCTTGCGGTACCACACCTGTATGTGCAAATGTTGTTTCTCCACATCGACTGGCAGAGTTTACACCAGTGATTTTGAACCCATCACCAATCCCAAATTCGATGACACTTTTGAGAAGAACCTCAGTTCTGTTCGGCAGGTTAAAGGTGAGCAGGATTAACCTTGTACATGCAGCAGGGGGGATTGGGGTGGAGCTGGGGTGGGGTTGGGTTTTATRCTCTGGATCCACACAGTGGAACCAAACAGTGCTGCTTTCTTTTAKTGTTTTTCCATGGTAGACACTGGAAATAATTTCACTCAAATAACAGAGTTGTGAGTATTCTGAGAAAAGGTGCAGAATCCTGTGGTTTCAAACCTCACCAGCACCCATCCCTGGTGCCCTGTTCCTCATCCTTTTGCTGAAGGATGGCACTGGGGGAAGGTGAAATCACTTTGTGGTGTGACCTCCACAGTTGTCCTGCAGAAAGGGACAGCAGCAGCCAGGAGCTGAAGCTGAGCAGTCAGATTTAGAGAAGCTGGAGCTCTTTTATCCTCACTAAAATGTACTCTCAATAAYGAAAATTTTATTTCCCTCCAATATACATTGCTGAAGCCAGAAGTRTTAATGCTGTGGTGTTTTGTATTTTTCTCCTGTGCACAGAAATAATTCATCAGTTCATTTTGGAACAGCAGAAAGGAAACAGAGTGCCTCTCTGCATCAACCCTCAGTCTGCTGCTTTTAAGAGCTTTATTAGGTAACTGTATGTAATCACATCTGATATTAATTCCCATTTATTAGTAGTACTGAATTCACACATCCAAAATGTTTTAGATTTTCAGTTCCTGAGAGTAGGAAAGGCCCTTGTGAACTATTTTTATGAATTCTTCTAGAATTTAAGTAAAATGTGCAAAAGTTTCAAGTGATGTTTTTGTGCTAAAGAACAGAAGTCAGATTGCAGCTGAAAATGGGAAGGTTGACAGGTTGAGTTTTGGTTGTAGAACTGCCCTGTAAAGGCATTGGGAGGAATGAGTGGTGGTGAGAATGTGCAGAAAAAGTGCAGTGGGATATTTGTTAGAGTTGGTGGCTGTTGGCCTGGCAGGGTTGGCTGGGTTGGGGTTTGCTCTCCCCGGGGTGTTGGGTCCCCAGCTGAGCAGTGAGGCTGTGTCCCCTGAACCCCTGAACATGTGCCCTGATCCCTGTGTCCCTGAACCCCTATAACTGACCCCTGATCTCTGTGTCCCCTGATCCCCTATAACTGACCCCTGATCTCTGTGTCCCCTGATCCCCTATAACTGACCCCTGATCCCTGTGTCCCCTGAACCCCTATGAGCACTGATCTCTGTTCCCCTGATCCCCCATAACTGATCACAGATTTCTGTTCCCCTGATCCCCCATAACTGACCCTGTCTCTGTTCCCCTGATCCCCTATAACTGATCACAGATTTCTGTTCCCCTGATCCCCTATAACTGACCCCTGATCCCCTATAACTGTCCCCTGATCCCCCATAACTGACCCCTCCTCTCTGATCCCCTGATCTCCTATAACTGACCCCTGAACGCTGTGTCCCCTGATCCCCTATAACTGACCCTCTCTCCGTTCCCCTGATCCCCTATAACTATCCCCTGAACCCTGTGTCTCCTATCCCCCATAACTGACCCCATATCCCCCATAACTGTCCCCTGAACCCTGTGTCCCCTGATCCCCTGTAACTGTCCCCTAATCCCCTATAACTGACCCCTGAACCCCATAACTGACCCCTGAACCCCATAACTGACCCCTGACCCCCATAACTGACCCCAATCCCCCATACCTGACCCCTGAACCCCATAACTGACCCCTGATCCCCTATAACTGTCCCCTGATCCCCTATAACTGTCCCCTGATCCCCCATAACTGACCCTCTCTCTGTTCCCCTGATCCCCCATAACTGACCCCTCCTCTCTGTTCCCCTGATCCCCTATAACTGTCCCCTGAACCCTGTGTCCCCTGATCCCCCATAACTGTCCCCTGATGCCCCATAACTGACCCTCTCTCTGTTCCCCTGAACCCTGTGTCCCCTGATCCCCCATAACTGACCCCTGAACCCCATAACTGACCCCTCCTCTCTGTCCCCCTGATCCCCTATAACTGTCCCCTGATCCCCTATAACTGACCCCTGAACCCCATAATTGACCCCTGAACCCCATAACTGACCCTCTCTCTGTTCCCCTGATCCCTTATAACTGTCCGCTGAACCCTGTGTCCCCTGATCCCCCATAACTGACCCCTAAACCCCACAACTGACCCCTGATCCCCTATAACTGACCCCTAATCCCCCATAACTGTCCCCTGAACCCCATAACTGAC